TGTGTGTGTGTGTGTGTGTGTGTGTGTGTGTGTGTGTGTGTGTGTGTAGATGCAGACACACACATTTATATATTGCTGTCCTTGGGTCAGCAAATGCTCAAAAACTGCTTTAAGGTCCTTTTGATATCTTATTAACTGGTTTGATAATCTTAATTAACTAATTTAATAATCTTATTAACATCTACTGTATGTCCTCAAAGATGAACTTGTCTTATAGAGAGAACTGTAATCTATAGCAAACATAGCAAGTTTCACGTGAAATTATTTTGAGTGCTCACCCCGGCTAGAAGGTGTTCTAGCTGATTCTGTTTCATAAAAACTCTGCTCAGATGATGCACCCACTGAGAGGGAGTCTCTTCGTAAGCACCGATTTAATTCCAACTGAATCCGATATTCATCCTCCTGCTGCATTGGACGATTTTTCCTATCTTTAGCAGGTAACACTATTTTACCAGAATTCTCTGTTTGTGCACAAAAGGAAATACCATTAATAAACAGTTGAGGAGTAATTTAATCAAAGCTGTCTTTCACTTCCATCTCCCCTAAAAACCATTAATCCAACATAAATATTAACTTTTTTGAACATAATAAGTATAAATCTATACTCATTTTTGATATCACAACATTAAATCCAAATCTAAAAAATAAATATATATATTATTACGGTGATTAAATCTGCAAAATCTATAAATGCTACTTTTAAAGTTGTTAAAGCACTCCAGGCCAAAGAGCTACAACATAACCATTTAAGAATCTATACAAAGAATTCTACAGGAATATAGTAATATATGTACATTTCAACCACAATAAACAAGTTCTCTCTCTTCAAAGTCATGACAAAATTTTAATATTCAGGGTCATTCCTTATAGTATTCCTTCAGTTTTACTTGTCAATAATACTTCATTTACTTACCTGGTCCAGCTATAGCAGCCAACAGGTCCAAAATCAGATGAACTTGCCTTGGCGACAGGAATAGGTGTATTGAGTCTACATGGCCATCAACATCCAACTTGAGGGGAAAAAAAAAACAAGGCAAAGTTATTCAGAAAAATTAGGCATAAATTACTAGGTATAAGCATATATGGAAAATGACTTTATACCTATACCAACTGCTTTCAGTCCTACCTAACACTAGGGGAAGAGTTTTAGCTTTGTAGAATCAAGAAAAACTTAACAGGTGCTGATTTACAAAAAGCTCAGAGTCAGGTTCCCAAGCCAGTAAAAGCCTTTTAGGTTTGACCTGTAAAACCAATCATATTCCACAAAATATCTTCCCCTTATGTTATCTCATTTATTTTTCTACATTTTTCTACATAATTCAAAATATAACTTTCAAAGCTCTCCATCTTGTGTCTCTGTTTCCTTCTGGCCTTCTGTTTTATTTTGAGCATTTTTTTTCTATTTCCATGATCTTCATTACATATCCAATTGATTGCTTTCTATGAAAACAAATGAATCCATTTAACCAAAATGTATCTTGTTCCTCTTTGACTGGCTTATATTTATTTTTAAATAATATTTTATTTTTTCCTCAATTAAACATAAAAACAATTTTTAACATTCATCTTTTTTTTAAGTTTTGAGTTAAAAATTTTATCCCTTCCTCCATCCCTCCTGAAGACTGTAAGCAATAATAACTGGTTATACGTGTGGACTCATGTAAAACATTTCCCTTAGTAGTCATTTTGTTGAAAAAACTCTAAAGAAAAAAAAGAAAGGAGGGAGGGAGAGAGGTAGGCAGGCAAGGAAGGAAGGAAGGAAGGAAGGAAGGAAGGAAGGAAGGAAGGAAGGAAGGAAGGAAGAGAGAGAGAAAGAGTATGCTTTGGTCTGCATTCAGACATCTATTCTTTCTTTGGAGGTGTATAATGTTTTTCAATATGAGTTCTTTGGGACAGTCTTGGAATCATTGTATTACTAAGAATAGCTAAGTCATTCACATTTTTCATCACACAATATTGCTGTTATTGTGAACAATATTCTCCTGGTTCTGTTCACTTCACTTTATATCAGTTCATGTAAGTCCTTCCAGGTTTTTCTGAAATCATCCTCTTTGTCATTTCTTATAGCACAGTAATATTCCATTACAATCACATACCATAACTTGTTCAGCAAATCTCCAATTGATGGGCATCAACTCAATTTCCAATTCTTTGCCACCACAAGTGTGTGTAGGTGTGTATGTGTGGTGGTGTGTGTATCTTGCAAAGAGGTTCTTTTTCCTTTTTTTTTTTTTAATCTCTTTGGGATACAGACCTAGTTGTGGTAATGCTGGATCAAAGGAAATGCAGTTTTTTAGCCCTTTGGACATAGTTCCAAATTACTCTCCAGAATGTTTGGATCAGTTCACAACTCCACCAATAGTGCATTAGTATCCCAGTTTTCCTACATTCCCACCAATGTTTATCATTTACTAATGGGTGTGAAGTGGTAACTCAGAGTTGTTTTAATTTGCATTTCTCTAATCAATCGTGCTTTACAGCATTTTTATGTGACTATAGATAGCTTTGATTTCTTTGTCTGAAAACTACCTGTTCATATACTTTGACCATTTATCAATTGGGGAATGACTTGTTATCTTATAAATTTGGCTCAGTTCTAAATGGGCCTCTCAGGGATACTTACTGTAAAAAAATTTTCCTCAGTTTCCTGCTTTCCTTCTAATTTTGGTTGCACTGGTTTTCTTTGTGTAAAAACTTCTTAATTCTATGTAATCAAAATTATCCATTTTACATTTCATAATGATCTCTATATCTTGTTTGGTCCTAAATTCTTCCCTCATTCATAGATCTGACAGGTAAACTATTTCATGCTCTCTTAATTTGCTAATGTCTAAATCATGTACCCATTTTGACTTTAGCTTGGTATACGATATGAGATGTTGGTATATGCACACTTCCATACTAATTTGCAGTTTTTCTAGCAGCTTTTGTCAAATGAGTTTTTGTCCTAAGAGCTTGAATCTTTCAGTTTATCAAAATTTCTATGGTCATTTACTACAATGTATTTGATCTATTCCACTGATCAATCATTTTCTTTCTTAGCCAGTACCATATTGTTTTGATGATTACTGCTTTATAATAGTTTGCGATCTGGTACTGCTAGGCCACCTTCCTTCACATTTTTTTTTCCACTGATTCCCTGGATATTCTTGACTTTTATTCTTCCAGATTAATTTAATAATTATTTTTTGTAGCTCTGTAAAATAATTTCTTTGAGTTTGATTAGTGTGGCATTGAATAATTAGATTAGTTTAGGTAGAATAGTCATCAAGCAACTAATATTTTTCCAATTGCTTAGATCTGATTTGTGTGAGAAGTATTTTGTAATTGTGTTCATATAGTTCCTAGGTTTGTCTTGGCAGATCGATTCCCAAGTATTTTATACTGTCTACAGTTATTTTAAATGGAATTTCTCTTTCTATTTCTTACTGATTGGCTTTGTTGGCAATACGTAGAAATGCTGATGATATATGTGGGTTTATTTTATATCCTGCATATTTGTTAAAGTTGTTAACTATTTCAACTAATTTTTTCAGTTGATTCTTTAGGATTCTCTCCATATACCATCATACGGTAATAGTGATTTGTTTTGAGTGAATTTTGAAAATTGAGTGAATTTTGTTTCCTCATTACCTATTCTAATTCCTTCAATTTCTTTTTCTTCTTTTATTGTTGTAGCTAATATTTCTAGTATAATACTGAATAATACTTGTAATAATAGCATCCTTTTTTCACCACTGATCTTACTGGAAAGACTTCTAGTTTATCCCTGTTACAGAGTTTGCTGATGGTTATTACTTATCGCTTTAAGGAAAGCTGCATTTATTCTTATGCTCTGTAGTGTTTTTAATAGGAATGAGTGCTGTATTTTCTCAAAGGCTTTTTTCTATATCTATTGAGATAATCATATAATTTCCATTAGTTTTGTTATTTATGTGGTCAATTACGCTGATAACTTTCCTAATATTGAACCAGCTCTGCATTCCAGGTATAAATCCCACCCGGTCATAGTATATGATCTTGGGGCTACATTGCTATAATCTCCTTGCTAGTATTTCATTTAAAATTTTTACTCAATATTCATTAGAGAAATTGGTCAATAGTTTTCTTTCTCTGGTTTCACTCTTCTTGGTTTAAGCAGCAACACACTGTTTGTGTCATAAAAGGAATTTAGTAGGACTCCTCCTTCTAAAAAAGTTAGATATGATAGACCTCTGGAGAAAACTGAATGAGAATAGAAGAGAATATTCCTTTTTCTTAGTGGTACATGGCACCTACACAAAAACTGACAGTGTATTAAGGCATAAAAACCTCTCATCCAAATGTAGAAAAGCAGAAATACTAAATGCAAGATGGGGTAAATCATCTCACATAAAAGAGGTATGAAGAGTTGTTGGGGGAAAGGGGAGGTGAATGAAGAAAGTGACAGGCAATGCTCAAACCTTACTCTTATCAGAATTGGCTCAAAGAGGGAATAACACACATACTCAGTTGGGTATAGAAATCTATCTTACCCCATAGGGAAGTAAAAAGGGATAAAGATAAGAGAAGAGGTGAAGACTGATACCTCTATCGGGGCAGATTGGGGGAGGTGGTGGTCAGAAGTAAAACACCTGTAAGAAGGGACAGGGTGAAAGGTAAGAGAGAGAAAAGGATACAGGAAAAATAGGATGGAGGGAAATACAGTTATCATAACCTATTTTTCCAAATACTTTATATAGTATTGGGATTAATTGTTCTTTAAATGTTTGCTAGAATTTGTTTGTAAATTCATCTGGCCCTGTGGATTTTATCTCAGAGAATTCACTTAATGGCTTATTCAATTTCTTTTTCTAAGATGGGATTATTTAAGTTTTCTATTTCCTCTTCTGGTAACTGGAGTAATAAATATTTTTGTAAATATTCATCCATTTTGCTTACACTGACAGATTTATTGACAAAATAGCTCATAAGAATTGCTTTAATTTTTTCTTCATTGGATTTCATCCCTTTTCATTTTTGATATTAGTAATTCGGTTTTCTTCATTCCTCTTTTTAATCAAATTAACCAATTATTTATCTATTTTATTGTTGTTGTTGTTGTTGTTGTTGTTGTTTTTCATAAAACCAGATTCCAGTTTTATTAGTTCAATGGATTGGGTTTTTTTTTTAACTTTCAATTTTATTCATCTCTCCTTTGATTTTCAGGATTTCTAATTTGATGTTTGAGATCTTTAATTTGTTCTTTTTAATTTTTTTTTTAGTTGCATGCCCAATTCATTGATCTGCTCTTTCTCTACTTTACTGATATAGCATTTAGAGATATAAATTTTCCCTTAAGAACTGCTTTGGCTGCATCCCATAACTTCTGGCATGTTGTCTCATTGCTGTCATTCTCTTTATTGAAATTATTGTTTCTATGACTTGTTCTCTAACCCACTTATTCTTTCAGATTAGATTACTTAGTTTCTAATTAATTTTTAATCTATCTTCCCACTGCCTTTTATTGAATCTAATTTTTACTGCATCATGATCAAAAAAGGATGTATTTAATATTTCTACATTTCTACATTTGGTTAAGCGTTTTATGCCCTAATACAAGGTCAGTTTTTGCCACATACCACTGAGAAAAAGGTATATTCCTTTCTATTCTCATTCAGTTTTCACCAGAGATCTACCACATCTAACTTTTCTAGAATTCTATTCACCTTGACTTCTTTCTTGTTTATTTTTTGGTTAAATTTATCTAGTTCTGAGAGAGGAAAGTTGAGGTACCCCACCCCCAGCATAGTTTTATTACGTATTTCCTCCTGTAACTCATTTAACTTCTCCTGTAAGAATCTGGATGCTATACTACTTGATGCATATGTGTTTAGTATTGATAATACTTCATTGTTTATGGTACTTTTTAACAAGATATAGTTTCCTTATCTCTTTTTTAATTACATCTATTTTTGCTTGTGGTTTGTCTGAGATCATGATCACTACCCCTTTTTTTTTTTTACTTCAGCTGAAGCATAATAGATTCTGC